AAAGATATTAATTGAGATGTTAAATTATTAATTTCATTCATATTTGTTGTATTTAATGTTATTAATTGTGATATCATCTCTAATATCATCAATATATATATTTGTTTCTTTCATTTTCTCTTTTATTTCATCAATTTCATTATTTGATAGAATATCTTTAACATTAATTGTTGTCATTCCATCTGATGATTTAATTGTATCAAGATAAATTGTATTATTATTAAAATATCTTGTTGTTAAAATATTATTTTTATTTAAATATTTTGAACCAATTGCTTCCATTTAATAATGTAAATTAAGTTCTAAGATAAAATATTCATCCCAAATTCCAAGTGGCATAATAATATTTCCTTTATAATCTTTAAACCATATTTCTATTGAAGTTATATTTTTATTAATATTAAAATGTTTTGGTGTCATATTCCCATATGTTGAAAAACATATCATTTGATCATTTTCAGGTGAATCATAATTAAATGAACCATGACAACTAACACCAATATCTAATTGACCATTCAAATTAAAATAAACAAAATTCAATACTTCTATTGTTTTAGGATAATTTTCAGAAGTAATAAATTCCCATGGTAAATTCACTTTCCATTTCCCTGTTGTTATATTTGGAGATGTATTTTCTCTTGTGATTGTTAAATATCTTTGATAATATAAACGAGTCATATAGATCTGATTATTATTATTATTATTATTATTATTATTATTATTATTATTATTATTATTATTATTATTATTATTATTATTATTATTATTATTATTATTATTATTAGATGAACAACTTTAATCAAAAGACAACAAAACCCATTCGAAAAACTTTATCACGAAAACAGGAAGATGCTGATGACACTGAAGAGATTCACATGGATAATGAATCATTTGATGATGAATATGTTCCTCGAAGTCCAATTTATTTTTCTCATTTATCACTAACTCCAACTGTAAATAATGCAACAAAAATAAAAAATTATCTCAAGTTATTTATGAAAGATTCTACAAATTTATATAATGCACCAAAATATAATAACCTGATTTATGTACGTATCCAAGATACAGTACTGATTATAAACATGGAAACATGTTTGATAAAATTAAAACAGAAATATTATCATATTTCAATAAGGTTAATAAGGATGATAAGGGTGATAAAAAAACTAAATGATTTAATGAAAGTTCTTGAAAAATATAAAACTATTAAATCTGCAATTGGGTCAAATATTATTAATATAATAATTCAATTAAAAATTCATTATTGAATTCATCAAAAAATCATTGATGGAAATGGATTATTTTATTTAGCTGATTCGATTGAAGAGATTGATAGTGATGATATTATAGTATTAAACATTATTATTACACTTCAAAAAAGAATTATTATTAGAGAAGGTAAATCAACTACATTTGATGTTGATAAATTTTACGGTAAGCCAGGGAAAAAAGTTCAAAAAGAATATACAGTTGGATTAAAAGATTCAATTGATGATTTTAGTGCACTTGGAAAGACAAGGAGAGTTAAAAAATCTAATTCTCATTAATTAAATCACCAAATGCATTTAACCTTCATTCATTTATTTTATTAAATATATCATTAAATGATTTAAAAAATTATAGATTCTTTGAAGGTAAAAATAATGCTGTAGCAATTGCTCATATGATTAATGTAAAAGTTATTCCTAATTGTATTGGAAATATTTGGGTATATGTTAGAGATTGGCCAGAAGAGAAAGGAAGAAGTAGAAAATTTAATTTAGGTAAACAAAATATTAATGGACTAGTGGAAAATATCATCCAGATCCATCAAGAGATGATATAACAAAATATTTAATAATTAACATTTAATTTATTTATTTTTTAATAATACTTATATCTCCTGTTAAATTATCTATTTTTAATATTTGTTCTTTATTCATTCCTAAATATAAATAATATCCAATAAATCCACTTGTATTTGCTGCTGTTTGTCTAAATATATAATTAAAATTTTCTTTAGAATATCCTTTAAATATAATAATTGTTGCTACTTGTATTTTAAATGAGGCATTTAAACTTTTCCATATGTGCATATTTACAATAATAGTTGTTTTTAAATGTCTTAATCTTGTAATAATTTCTCCCCATGTTTTATCTTCTTTCATTAATGCAAATAATGCATCTTCTAATATAATTAATAAATGTTTTTCTTGTGGTTGTTTATAATATTGTATTAATGCTGGTATAAATTTTTTATAATTCATTCCATAAATTGGTGTTTTAATTAAATCTTTTAATTCTTTAAATGTTTCATCTTCTCCTACATTTTTTGTTACATAAATAACTGCTCCATATAAATGTTCTATTTTATTTATTTTTATTAATCCTTTCATTATAAATGTTGTTTTTCCTGTTCCTTGTTTACCTAATATAATATTTAAACTATTATAATAAAAGAATATTTGATGATGAACTTGTTATATTTTATTTCCTTCTTTAATTTTAGATAATCTATTATTCACTATTTCATCTATTTTATCTATTTCTATTTCATCTACTTCACTCTCATCTTCTATATCACTACTATCTTGTGTATTTATATCAAAATAATTCATTCTAAAATTATTTAGTTCAAAAAAATTAATTAATTTATTACCAATGAATATCATAAAGAAGATTAACTCTTTCATTTAAAACACCATTCCGAAGTTTTTCATTCATTCTATTTTCATTAATTAATAACAATCCGATTCTTTCTAGTTCTTTTCTTAATCGTTTATTTTCTTCAATGATATCCATCATAACATCAATTGGATCATCATTCATCTGTCTTTTAATAAATTGATTCATCTTCTCTTTATTATTTGTTTTATTCTTCTTTGCTTTTATTTCTTCTTTAGGTGTTTCCGTTATGTCTGGACATGGTGGAAGTTCTGGTGTACCTGAAAATGAACACATTTGCGTAATGTTGGTATCACTAACAATCGACATTTCTATTATTTCTAAGATGATCCAATTTGTTTATATATTATCTAAAACTCTTCTCTTTCTTCTATTTATATTCTAATTTCTTATTTATCTATATAAATAGGTATAAAAATCATATGTATTGATATATTTCATCATATCTATGTTTTATTTCGTCTCATGAGTATTATAAACTCATCTTAAACTCAATAAAACATAAATATTTCAATGGAAGATATTAAAATAAGTACATATTTAACTATTCTATTATATGTAATATTTATTAACCTAGATTTTGTATAATGACTTTTGATATTTTTGTTCCATTCTTTATACAATTTATAGAAGATCTTCCTGCTTGTTTATTAATTTTGGCTTTTTATCTTATTATCCTATCATATTATAATACCCCTATTTGAACTTATAAAGTGGACAAAAACTCAATTTAATTAACTATTTATTCGTTTATAATCTCATTTTTTATTCATTCATGTCTTCTGTAAGAGAATTACTAATGGCTACTACCTGTATTGATCTTGACCCAGCCAATCTCCAAATTGCTTGCCCTCTTTTATCTCAGCTTGTTCTCCTTCTTCTATCAATCACTAATGAAAATAAAAAACGAATATTAAAAGGGGTTTATTGAAAACTCATATGGCAAATCAACACATTAACTGGATGGAATAAAAACACTAATTGGTTAATTATTTTAAATGTTTTATTTTATTGTGAACTATATCTAAACAAAATAAGAAAAAATAGTTTAATTAATTATTTTATCTTCAATGATCATTTTGTCTATCTAATTGTCTGTTTTATGTCTGTTTAAATATTCTTTGTTTACCCCAGATCTAATATTTAAATCTTATGTTTTGTTGTAATGATCATACCCACATGTGCTGCTTAGTTTTAAGACCTTTGTCCTATGTTATACGCGATATTAGAGAAGAACTCGATCACCACCTCTATAGAGATAACTTACTACCAGTTAAGTGTTTAATCTATAGTATTAGCTATTTTTGAAGGCACTGGGCCTTCGAGGAGTTTAAGTATGACTCCGCTCTTCTTTGTTACCTCGATCTTTACATCGAGAATTGTTATTCTCTCCTCATTGGAAGAGAGAAATTAGCAACTTGCTTAAGAGAGATCCAAAACTATGAATACATAAATGATTTCTCTCATTTCTAATTGAATTCTTTTTTATTATATTTTAAACAGATAACAATCTATTAATTAATTAGTTTATTGATTTAATTATTTAAACAGACACCTACTATTATTTATTTTATTTATTAAAACTAAACAGACAAATAGTATCAAAAAGTATTTACTTACTTACTTTCTTTTTTAACTTTAGCATTTTCAATTCCTCTTAAAAGCAGTTTTTTAATCGCTTTCATTGTTTCTTTATATTCTTCAACTACTTTCTTAAGAACCAATTCCATATCTTCAATAATTTCAGTTTCTTTAGCACAAAGATCAGCATATCTTAAATCTTCATCATTAAATCTATGTTCTCTATCAAAGCAGTCTAGCAAGTCCATACAATAATTTTTTACTTCTTTAACAACATTGTGGAAGTCAAGTAATACATTAACCTTTATATCTTCTAATAGTAATTTGGCAGCATACTCCAATGCATCACGGTTATCCATTCTATCCATCGCCGATTAATGATCTTAGTTAGACCACTTAATCTATTTATTGATTTCAATAATATTATTAGATTATCGTTATAATTTTGAGATTATAGAATCAATATTAAAAATTTTATTATAAAAAAATAATCCAGAATTACAAACAGTGTAAAATGGGAAAATGATTTTACAAAAAATGAAACAATGAAAATACAAAAAGTTGAATACACCAAAGAAAAGGAAATACAAAGAATAGAATAATTCAAAATATGAAAAGAATACCTCAAAAGAATGTACTCAAACGTCAAAAAAAGATGATTTCCATAAACTAATTATAAATAAAATATTAATATATAAAACACAATCTATTTATATAAAATGTGTTATATAAAACATAAAATGATATATATCCCAAAAAGACCAAAATTTCCCATTACGTACTACATGATGCCATCACACTATCGTCAAATTGTACCATAGAAAAAATTATTATAAAAAGAAAAAATAAAATAAATTCTAATTTAAGAAAATTGAAAAAATAAAAATAAAATAAAAAATTAATTAAGTATTAATAGAATTTATGTCTATTGTTCCTGGATCATGTGAGACTAATCCTATCTCTTCGTCTTCGTCATGTAATTCAACAACATATAATTGGTTGTGGTAGAATCAGTGTTCCATAACATCCATCATGTTTTTAATTACAATGTTTTTGACTTCTTTTATGATGTCAATTTCGATTTTTAATTCTTTAATTAATTTAATACTTTCTACATTTACTAATTAATTTATTGAAATTACTCCTGCAATTATTTTAACGTCTTTTAATTTCTCTATTTTCATTAGTATATTTTTCAATTCCTTGTACATATTTCTTTCTTCCAATAGATTCCATTAATATTGTGAGCTGCCACAATAATCATATCAAATATTAGACCAGAAAAAAATAATATAAAAAGAAAAAAATATAAAAAAATATAAAAAATAAAATTAAGAAATTATAATTTAAAAAAATTAAAAAAAAACAAGAAAAATTATTGATAAGAAAAAAAAATAAGAAATAATAGATATATCCACAATTTGATTTTATAATTATTGAGAAGTGATTATTTCAGTTTCTTCAATACGTTCTAATTCTACAATAGAGTTTATTTCAAAAATATGAGAATTAGAATATTCCTCTTCTAATGTGTTGCCAATGTTGAATATGTAGAATATTAAGTATTTCATGTTTTTAATAATAATTGTTCGTAGTATTTTGGGGAAGTTGATTTGTAATTTTAGTGTTTTTAATCTTCTTACTGATTCTTTATGTATTAATTTATTGATAATATTACAAGTATTATTTCTACATAAATTAATTCTCTATTTTGTATTAACTTCTCTTGTAATTCTTTGTATTTATTTATTTTGTAAATATAATTTAATTCTATATTCCAAGATTTGAAAGTAGCACGTCAGAGATACCACACAGAACGCTAAAATATTTCCATCCTTCGATTCCCCCAATTATGGACTGGTTATGACATTGTGTTTAGTTAGAAACACATCTTAATCAATACTACAAGAATAATAATGTTTATTATTTGCAATGATGGGATATCATTAATAATAAAAGAATGGATATTTATAAAGATGTTATTATTACTTGTTATGATACAAGTACATTTGATAATATATGATTATCAAAGAAAAAGGGTTTGGTGGTTGATTCTAAAAAGAATATTAACCTAAAGCAATATAGTAGTAATTATATATTCTCCTTAAAATAAGAAAATAAAGAAGAATAATTTTAATACTCATCAAAATCAAAAAGAAATTAAATAATGAATATTTAAGTAACCAATGTCTAAAATACTCTATTCCACATCAAAAATGAGAAAATGAAATTGTCACAATTCAACAACTAAAATCAAAGGATATTCCAATAGTTGATGAACAAAAACTTTTAAAGCAAAGGGATGGGATTAGTTATTCTCCCCTGACAAGGAATAATAGAAAATATTTCTATTAATACTTAATTATCTACTTTTTAAATATAATTTAATTCTATATTTCTATCTTGACATATGGCGACATCAATAATATATCATTTTTTATCTTTGATGATTTGATAATATATCTGGTATTCTAGCAGTAAAAGAATTGTCGCTAACCAATAAATCATTATTGTAATTTATAATCATTTCATCATTATTAATACATTTATGATGTACATTAAAATCAATTTCATCAATTTCATTAAAATGGGTAATTAATATGTGTTTATTTGTTTACACATAATCATATTTTAATATTTGATTCTTCTTCATTACAAGATATCCTAACAATATATTATTAATAGATAAAATAGTGATATAACAATGTTTACAATAAATTAATATATTAATAAGAAGTATTTTAGATTTGATATTTCTTGTCATAGTTACTCCTTCTTGTATCTTTACTACTTTGATGAATACATTTCTTTTTATATTTAATGACCTCCATGTAGTTACTGTTAATTTATTATTATTAAATATACAATTTACATTTCTTATATATTCACTACATTTCTTTCCATTCATTTAAATATCTTTCATTTATTTTATTTGTTACAATTTCAAATACATTGTTTATATCATGTTTTCTTTCATTTATTTGTATTATATTCATTCATTGAAATTAATTTTCTTACCAAATACTCTTTTCATTCTTTTAATTCATTTTGGATTCTCTTTTACTGTTTCTATCATTTCTAATATTTCTGTATTTGATCTCCATTTATATTTTAAATATATTCTTAATAATTCCTTACCACATTCATCTCGTACTGACATTAATCACATTCCTAATTCATTTATTGTGACATATAATCTACTTTTGTTGAAGTTTCTACTGTATAATTGGAGTTGTATCAATGAATTTCTTATTTATTTACTATATTCTAAACTCACTAAATTTCCATGGAACAATACAGAATTAATACCTTAATTTTGAGATTATATCATTATTAATTTTTCTAATTGTATTGAGGCTGTTATATTTCATAATATTTAATGATGATAGAATAGAAGATACATCATTTAATAATCTTGTACAATATTTATTATATTTATTTATCTCCTATTTCAATACTAAGATATTTATAATGATTATCATTAGTTACTCTTGGTAATTCAGCTAATTCTCCATTTATCTGACCATTGATATTATTCATTATCCAACTTTTTTCTACTTTTATTTTTAATCATATTGCATTAAATATTTCATTTGTTAATTTATGGGCTTTTCAATTTCATTGATGTTATTAGTTATTATACTTAAATCGTCAATATATAATATATGATTTTAACTGTACCTGTTTTTCTTCTCCTCGTTTCGATAGATAGTTTATTAATTTGTTTATCTAATTGTTTAGATAATATATCAATAAATAATACAAATAACAATTGAAATAAACTATCATATTGTATTATTCATCTTTCTACATTAATTATACCTACATTTTGTTGATTATAATATAATTTTTAATATATATAATATACTTTTAATTACAACTAATGTGATGTTAAAGTAAATTAAACATTGTTTAACCCATTGATGATTAATATTATCATATGCTTTAGAAATATCATATGTTTCTACCCACTTCCATTTAGCATTGATTAATAACTGTTGGATTATAGTATTGTATAATAATCATTCTTTTGATAATATGTATATTTTTTACATCCAATTTGATTTGGTGATAATTGTTTTTCAATTGGATTTAGCATCAGTTGGCTTTCTATCTTCATCTTTAATAAAGATGTGTATACTTTTAACAGACAGTTTAAACAAGTTATTGATCTGTAATTTAGTTTATATAATTTATCTCATTTCTTTTATATTAATATTGTCTTTCCTTGGATAAATTGAAGAGGGATAGTAGGATTATACAACAATTCATTAAATAATTTTAATAAGAAATTGTTTGGTTGTTCTAAATATTTAATCCAGAAGTCTTATATTTTATCAATTTCATGTACTTTCCAATTACCAATGAATTTTATTGCATGATTTAATTCATCAGAAGTGATTACTCACCTTCTATTATTAATTCTATTTTCAATTAATATATCATATAAATTATTATTTATGAAATTTATATTGGTGTTATTTTCATAGATTCATTTCAAGAAATTAATTGTAGTAATATTATCTGGATATTCATCTTCTTTAGGATTATTTAGAATTTGTCTCTTTCAATATTTTAACATTTTATAATTCCATCTAATTCTTTTCCAATTATTCTTTCTTACTTCTATTTCTATTCTTTTCGTTCTTTTGATGTATTTGTAATAATTTATTTGATCATTTGTTTTTACTTTAATATGATATATATCATATTTTTAAATATTTAATATTCTTTTTAATTTCATATATTGATTATTATGGAGCAAGTCTCTTAATCTACATATTTTTGATTGTAATATTCTTTCTATACTTCTCCTTCCACTTCTTTCTTGATTCTTATTAATAATGATGTTAATAGTGGAGGTTATAGTTTTAATATAATGGTAGTAATCATCTAATGTATTGATTACTATTTCATTTGTATTAATGATATTAATTATTTGATGTATTTTGTTTTTATTGTAATAATAATTAATAAATTATACATCTTCTTGTTATTTTATTTATTCTTTTTTAAATATTCTTATTACCTCCTCTTCTTGTATTTCTTCTTTCTTATTTATTCCGGCTATTAATTCTTTTAATTCAATATCTTTCCATTGGTGTTATTATTTCTTCTTCATTTCTTCTATTGACTTCAATTTTAATTTCATTCTTTATTTTAAATGTTTTCTTTATTATTTCTTTATATTCATTAATATCTTCTATTTTAATTTCAATTTCATGTATTAATCTTTTTATTTCTTCTTCTTTAAGTTGACCTCTTAATTTTCTTTCTAATAACTTTAGTGCAAAACATTTATAGAATGTTAGAATTTATTCTTCTCTATTTGTTTGCTTCCCCCGTTTTTTGATTGTCATGATCAGAT